CACGCCGTTCGCGCATTCACAACACAGAAAGAAAGAATCATGCGCTCGAGATTTCGACAGCGCTGCTATGTGCATTGGTAAGCTAGTAACGGTGACGATGATGAAGGGAATAGAGTCGTTACGACGGTGGCATCGGCTGTCGACAAAAGACCCGCAGACAGCAACAATCAGAGAAGCGGCAACGGCAATAGCAGTGGTAGTAATGGCGCCAAACTGGAATTCTCTTATTCCTCGTCGCGCGCACGCTGAGCGGCAGGCCAATGTGTCCCCTCTATGCCTTCATATGACTGTAAGCGGGAAGATCCAAGGGGCGACCCGGGTCGTCAGAGCCGACTCATCTTCACCCGTCGTAGTTTTCATCGCACGAGCAAGAAAAAGACCTCGGTGCTGGAACGGAACGGACCAAGAAACAAACACGCACGGTGTCTTGCTATCCGTCCGCGCTGTTCATTACACACATAGGCACGGATATAGTCAAGCACACATCCAAGGAGAAAAAGAAAATCATATTCTCGTAAAAGGAGTCCTGGATCGTCTCATCATAGGAGACCGACCAGACGCGGGCGTCTGTGACACGGGGGCCGGCAGACGACACGAGCCACTAAAAAATTGTGCACAACTTCCGGTTTCATTTCCGTTTTCGTTTGCCGCGGTCCCAGGACGAACCGGAGTGAACAAAAATTCCTAAATGGCAAAAATGAAAAAAAAACTAGCTTTTTTTTGAGGGGAAAAGGATCGCTGATGTTGATTAGAATCTACAAAGTTGTTTCTCGGGTTAAGGCCTGTTGAAGCGAATCGAAAAGGTATCTGCAATTTGGTAAATTCTCTGTTGTGCACTGAGTGTCGAAAATGACCACTTCAACCGAGCTCATCCTGGGTTTAGTGTTCAACGATTGTATAACGACTATTGTGGTATATTTGTCTTCGAGTCTTTTAAGTAGTTTCGAGCATGGCTGCTGCTCAAGCCACTAAACGCGACAAGATATGACCTCGGAGCTTCCTGCCTGACGGAACCGGCAAGTGTGATAGAAACCGTGAAACTTTTATTGAATGATTTCGACATCATGGCTGACCTAATTCTGAGAAAGCGTCGCCTTGTCATCGTGTTGAAGTACTACCCGAAAAAAGAATGACGCTCAATCGCTCTATCAGGCAATTGGTACTTGGTTATCCAATTGTCATAACGAAATGGGTTAGCCGATATGATATTCAAAGTAACCAATTATTTGTGATTGTTAACTAACCAGATGATTAGTAGGTAAGCTCAGATCCACAAGACGGCATAAACAATTAGTACTGCATTGCAGATCTATAGCACGATCCAGTTTAAGAAATTCAACATGATTGATTCACAACAATCACTACTCGCAAGCAAATTATATATA